AACATACGAGGCAAAGGATCTGGGCCTCGCTACCCTCTTGCCCCTCATTTCTATAGCGAGTTATTCAGACTGGTTTGATGGGATGGGTGCTGCCTGACAAGAGGCTCCAAAGTGAGTTTACCTTCCTAATGGAATCTAAACTCCATGGAGCTCCTATGAGCCTGGAAAGGATTCTGTAGAATTCGGTGGGAGAATTCATCAGCATTGCTCTGCTGGTAACCTTGAATTCAGTTCTCTCAAGGGGAATTATGGCCTCCAATGAGCCCTTTTAGTATTTTCTGTACTTTCTGTAGGGTAAAATAAAGGAAACACTCTACCCCATATATGTTTATTACCTTGAATGCTTGTACAGAAAAGGGGACCTCTTTTTTCCATGTGTATATAAATCTAGACAAAAGTTCTATTTGGAGATTTATTTTCATAATTCTGGATGGAGACAAAAAGAGCCAAGGGAAAATGAAATTTTAAGCCTGTCACTGAGATTGGAACAATTTTGTTTATGTGCAGAGTCTTAGGGATACTTTGGTCACAGGTTACAAATGGACAAGAAGTGAATTTAATATTTGAATCACCTCATTTTGGACACTTTCTGGCTTGTCAACATCCATCTTAAAGTGTGCCGTCCAGAATTGAACGTAACATTCCAGATGTGGCCTGACTAGGCCAGAGCACAGGGGGCTAACTGCCTCCTTATTCTAAGAAATTTGCCTCTCGATGCCCATCAATTGGGGAATGGCTGGGCAAGTTGTGGCATATGAATGTAATGGAATACTATTGTGCTATAAGAAATGATGAACAGGCTGACTTCAGAAAAACCTGGAAAAACTTGTATGGTCTGATGCTGAGTGAAGTGAGCAGAACAAAGAGGACTTTGTACCCAATAACATCCACGTTATGCAATGACTAAGATTGTTAAACTGAACCCTTCTCAGCATTACAAGGATCTAAGACATCTCTAGAGGCCTTGGGATGGAAAATGCTGTCCACATTCAAAGAAAGAACTATGGAAGTCGAATCGCTATCACTGATTTTTACCTTCTGTTGAGTTTTGTTTCATCTTTCTGATGGTTCCTCCTACTGGTTTTAATTTTTACTTACAGCTTCACTAATGTGAAAATATGTTTAATAGGAATGTAAATGTAAAGCCTATATCAGATTGTGTGCCATCTTGGGGAGGGTGGGGGGAAGAAGAGGGAGAAAAATTTTCAACTCAAAAGCATATGGAAGTGATTGTTGATAAATCAAAATAAATTAATAAAATTTAAAAAAAAAAGAAATTCACCTCTCAACAGAGCCTTCATCTTTTCTCCTCACTGACCTCTTGGGATGCAAAGAACCAACTGAGAAGAAAGCTGTTAGTACTAGACACTCCTATTCAAAGTTCTCCTTGTTAGTGTGGTGCTCAGACAGAATAGTCTCTATTACCTCCTCAGGGTTAGAAGCCTAGTTACTCTGATTTGCCATTAAGGTCTATGGTTGTTTGAGGGGACCATCTCCATAGCTATCATTTCAGATAAGCTTCATGACCTGGGTATCTGATGTTTCCTGGGCTGGCGGCAATTGGTCAGAGACACTGATATACTTACTGGCAAAAAAATAAGGAGGCTCAAAAGCATCTATGGACTCCCTGTGCTAGGAGGGAATTATGCAGACTCAGCCCCTGCCCTCTTAAGACTTTGTTCTAAGATAAGCAACATTGATCCAGGAGAAGGCACAAGTTGTCTTCATTCCAGTAAATAAAAGTTCTCTGAGGGTAGATTTTTATTTTTGTCTCTGTGTTGCCAAGGCCTAGCAAAGGGTCTGGAACATGCATGGCAGGCACTTATTAATAAATGCTTGTTAAGTGACTGATGTACATAAAACACAAAGGCAGATATGCCCTTTTTGTATGGTGTTATAGTTTAGTAGACAGAACTCTGGCTTAGAATTCAGAAGACTTTGATTTTAACCTCATTTCAACCAAAGACTTGAGTGACCTTAGATAAATAACAACCTTCTGGCATGTCAGTTTCCCCTTCTGTAAAAGTAGGGACAACAATACTTTCTCTCCCCAGTTTCCTCTCAGATACTGTGAGGCTTGTGTGACATCTTGGATTTATACAGCATTTTATACATGAGCACATTTGAGCCTCAACTAGCCAGCGAGGGAGGTGTTATTAAAATAGGTGAAAAACAGTTTGATAAACCACTCTGTAGACACAAAGGATTACTATGAAATGGGTAGTCAACAGATAATATTAAATATTTACATTAGGTACACACTCAGGGGTGAGTAAACTAGAGGGGTGGTAAGGAGGAGAGGCCCCTGTGAATTTCATACTCAGAAAAAGACTGGTGAACGTGACTGCCTCCTTAAAAAATGCCACTATAAAAGGCCAACAAGCCCCCCAGCTAACCGTTTGAAGGTACAAATCTAAGGATGCCCTGGGTCTTAGCTGCCTCCTCATCAAAGCTCCAGAGGCAAGAGACATTCTTTTGACACATCTAGAGCCTTGACAATTGGACCTCTGGGGCCTAGCAATGGATTTATACTAGGAATCCTTAAAGAGAGAGCTTGGACAAGCAGGTGCTTTGCCTCCAATCCCCTTCTCTGTTTTCAGCTGCTATCTCTGGACATGTGATGCTTTCCAGATGTGTGCCAGGCAGGAAGCGGGAAGCAAAACACTTTTTTTTTTTATAAATTAAAGCCTTTAAAAATAGAGCTTTTAAAAAGTGCCTGTCTTTGGTTTTTTCAAGCATGTGGATTGAAAATGCCTGGTTTATTTATTTTTAACCTTCCAAAGACAATTTGAGAACCAGAAGGACATTAGCTGAGCAAAGGAGGAGATGAATTCGCTATAACTGGTATTTAAGGGCCAGACCTGTAGAGTCTTCAGAATCCGTGGTCATGGTATAGTGAAGCAATGGAGCCTAATGTTGCCCTACCTACACTGTGGTGCAGGGTGAATAGCTAATGTCCTAATCACTCAGCTCGCCTTGCTGGCCAACCTGTCACATATGGCTCCAGGAGAACTTTACCATGGAGATGGCGATCTCGCTACTAAGATGGGACTCCTCAAGAACTTGACTTTGCAAACCTCTTCCTTCTTTTCCTTTCCAGACTAGACTCTTTATACTTTTCTTCTCACCACCTAACTGTGCATACTTGCCATGTTCTCATAGTCCCCACCAACACTATAGCTGCCTCCTTTCATCTTTCTCCACCATGTAAGAAGCCATAAAAAGGCCATGATTGGAATGTACATTTAAACAGAACAGTTTGTAAATAGGTCTAGAAAGACAAAAATATGGTCTCAGTATTAGCACTCTGCTGCCACTTGGGCATTTATGAGATACTAGGGCAGTTTGTCTACATCTGAATTGGATTAGCAAATTCCTTGCCTCAATGGGGTATCATGAATATCTAGAACTGGAGGAGGTTCGCTGTGATCCTTATGGATGTTGATGGTGCTCACTCCCAATTCCCTATTCCTCTTTCCTCTCTCTTTGTCCCTCTTCTCCTCCCCACTTCCTTTGAATATACTGGAGTCCCTCAAAAGATCCTGCAGGAACACAGTGTTGTTGTTACCTTTGTCTTGGATTATTGGCTGCATGAACTAATTAAGCTTATGTCTAGCTCCCAACTTTAGTATACTGCCTTTGGAATGCTTGTACGTGACTACCACTTAGAAAAAAAACACACAAAAATTCATATTCAGTGATAAGAAACTCAACACTTTCCTCAGTTTATATTCTTCTACTAGGCTAGTTCAATTTCAATTTAATTCAACAAATGTGTTATCGAATGCTTGCTATAAGGAAGCCACTGACCTAAATTTGGAAAGAGTGCCAAGCCTAGAGTCAGGAAGATTTTTGTGAGTTCAAATCCAGCCTCAGACACTTACTAGTTGTATGACCCTGGGCAAGTTACTTAACCCTGCTTGCCTCAGTTTCCTCCTCTGTAAAATGAATTGGAGAAGGAAATCACAAACCACTCCAGTATCTTTTCCAAGAAAACCCTTACGAAGAATAGGACACAACTGAAAAATGACCTAACAACAAAACAAGAGATTTCTTACTGATGCTATAACCTGCAAACACATTGTGAACTCCGAGAAAGAAAGGGCTTTTCCAAGTAATTGTTAGTGTCCTGTGCCTAACAGCACAATAATCATTTCCTCATGCCTAGTAAAGAGGCAGACTAGGATTCATGCTAAAGTAGGGTAACAGTAAGCAAGCATATGAAGAAAGAGAGAAAGAGAGAGAGAGAGAGAGAGAGAGAGAGGTGGGGGGGAGCATGAGCACACGCATTGTCTCTACAAGTAGACTGCAAGCTTTATAAGGGCAAAGATTGGGTCTTATGCTCACTTGTATCTATCACAAGACCTTCAACATGGAAAGAGCTTAATTCATTTAAGTTCATTTGACTGATTGGTTGATTAAGGTAGAATAAGGGAAAGGCTTTAAGATCAAATTGAGATAAAACTTTAGATTCTTGAATTAATTTCTTCTTGATGTCACTCAGTGCCTTGAGATTAATCATTTTGTCTTTGTTTTTCCATTACCTGGAACATAGTGTCTGGTGTCACTCAGTCAGAAAATAAGCATTTATTAAACACTTACTATGTTGCCAGGAATTGTGTTAACAACGGGGGGAAGGGCGGGTACAAAAGACAAAAGTCAAATGATCTCTGCCCTCAACAGATTCTGCTGGGATCTACAGCAGAAGAGGGAAATCTACTAACCTTTTACCCTTTCCCATGTAGCTTTTATTGAAGACCCATTATTCTTCTCCAGCTATCTCCTTCAACATATCCAGATCTGGGGCAGTTAGGTGGCACAATAGATAAAGCACCAGCCCTGGAGTCAGGAGTACCTGAGTTCAAATCTGGCCTCAGATATTTATAAGCTGTGTGACCCCGAGCAAGTCACTTAACCCTGATTGCCTCCCCCAAAAAACAAAAACCAAAAAAATCCAGAGCCCTAGAAAGTCTGCTGATGGTGCCCAGGGCAGGACTGACCTGATCATCAATCTTCCTCTGCAGCTGAACCACTTTGTTCTCCATGCCCACGTTCAATCGCTTCAGGTGCTCAGCAGAGCGGGCTTCGATCTTGAGAGCCTTCAGCTCCTGCCTGGCCTTCAGGCGCCTGAAGGCACACTGGATAACAATGGCCGCCCTCCGAAACTGCAAAAATCTCCTCCTGGCCATCCAGCCCCGGGCATGTTTCTGGATCCTGGTGGCCTTGTGTTCCAATAGGATCTGGTGAGAGACAAACAAAACCTCAGACGTGTTGCTGGGATTTCTCAGTCAAGATAAAAGGAAAGACAACGGATGGGAAAAAGAGCCAAATTTCTAAGATTAAAGAGATTTCAAGGTCTGGATTTCTGCCAAGTTGGAGAAGGTTTGGGAAGTGGGATAGAGTTTCCTTGCTAAATTACACAGCGTTTTCCCTCTCCTCTCTTTAATTTTAAGAGTTTAGTAGTTGCCCAACCCATAGACGAGTTTCAACAATGTCAAGAAAGCTGCTGGAAGTTTCTGTTTTCTTAAAAAAACGATCAAAGAATCACAAAGTGATTGCCCGACATCTAAGACAGCACCTAACCCTGTACTCCCATTTATTTATTTTTTAGATTTATTTTTTTATTAAACAATTTATTTATTTAGTTTTAGTTTTCAACATTCACTTCCATAAGATTTTCAGTTTTTAATTTTCTCCCCTGCTTCCTTTTACATATTAGAAAAATGAAGGCAAGAAAGGTGAAAAACTACCTAAATGGTGGGAGGGAGGGAAGTAGAATCCAGCCCTCGTGACTCATAAGTCATAGTCTTTCCACTACTACAGTGCACTGGCTCCCCCACTTAGGGACAACCTCAAACCTTTCCCTCACCCCTAGAAATAAAACAGCATCACTTTGTCTACTGAGTATTCCAGATCCCTCTTTGTTGCCTATATACCTTTTGCTACACATATACTTTCCCTTTCCAGATAGTATACACCAAGGATCCAGTGTGCCCTCCAGCTCATTCTTTTACTCTCTCCTCTGGGGTAAGCTCAGAGCAAAAGACATCTATGAATATGTGTTTGGTGGTCTCCTAGTTCCCTTGACCTTTACTAGAGCTCTTCATGATGGCCACCTATCAGGTGGTTAGTACTACCTACCAAACTCTGCCCCCCTCCTGACCTCATTCCCTCAAGATATCATATGGGATTGTCAACAATCCCCAGGACTCTGTCCGTAAAAAGTCCTCTTGGTGGCTTAGCACCCAAGACACAAGAATCCCTCTAGGCTGCTTGTGATGGGGAGAGGGGAGGAGAAGGATTCATCCAGCACTGCCTTATCCCAATTTTTTTTACTACATTTAACAAACATTTTGGTTTTCTCTCTTATTTTATTTAGAATTAATTCTGAACTTTTCACATGAGGGATTTATATCAGATGGCACAGTGGATAGAACTCTGGGTCTAAAGACCTGAACACTTGAGTTCAAATAGTCACTTACTTGCTGTGTAATTCTGGGCAAGTCGTTTAAACTGTCTGCCTCAGTTTCCTCAACTGTAAAATGGGGATAATAACAGCATCTACCATCTAAGGTTGTTGTGAGGACCATATGAGATAATAATTGTAAAGCACTTAATCAAGCGCCTAGCAATACATTGTTGTTTGTGTTAGGTTGCTTTTCAGTCATGTAGACACTTCGTGACCCCATTGGGGGTTTTCTTGGCAAAGACACTGGAGTGATTTTCCATTTCCTTTTCCAGCCCATTTTATAGATAAGGAACTGAGGCAAACAAGGTTAAGTGACTTGTCCAGGTTCACACAGCTAGTAAGTGTCTGAGGCTGGATCTGCACTCAGGTCTCTCTGACTCCAGGCCCAGCACTTTATCCATTGTGCCACCTGGCTGTTGCCCAGTACATAGTAGGTTCTTAATAATTAAATTCCACCACAGAAATGTAAGTAATTATTTTGTGGTCCTCTCTCAAGTTTCTCCCATTCCATCCTTCCAGCATTTGGGGGGGGGTAAGAGGATAGGGGGAGAGGGTAGAGGGAGGAGGAGGTCTATCCAGTACCTGGCGGTAGGCTCTCCGTACAAACATGCCTCGGGTAAAGGCCTGGATGGTGACAGTAGCCTTATAGGTCCTTCTATAGGCTTGCCGGACCCTCTGCATCCGATACTGTTTTTGGATGACAATGGCTGCCTTGGTTTTCCGCAGGTGCTCAGCCAACCTGTAGAGCCAAGATGGATGGGCAGCATCAGAGAGATCCCTTACCTCATTTGAGTTCCCTAAGATATATTGCATGAGGAAGTCCTTTCTTTCCTAGGAAGCTTCACCAAACCCACTTGTCACTGTCATTGACTACAGCAAGGTTCTCAATGCTCTCTTTAATTCTGTATAGCATCATTAGTTACTTTAGTTGTATCAATCAACCAACAGCTATTAAGTGCCTACTATGTGTTAGGCTAAGAATTCAAAGGAAAAAATAATGAACCAGTTTCTTTTCTTAAGGAGGTTACATTTCATTGGGGGAAATAGTATATGCACATATAAATATATAAAGAATATATGAAAAAGTAAATTCAAGGTAATTATGGGGAGGGGAGCCAAGAAGAGGCATTAGCATTTGGAGGTATCAGGACAGGCCACATAAAGATCAGATCAGTGGCTCAGTTCCTTGAACTGAGCTTTATATATTCATCCCTTCTACCTTCTCTGGTAATTTTTCCTTTTCATAGCATTTATCATGGTACATGATCAGTAGGTGTTTCTGTTGTATCTAACTCTCTGCAACCCCATTTGGGGTTTTCTGATGTGGTTTGCCATTTCCTTCTCCAGTTCATTTTACAGATGAGGAAACTGAGGCAAATAGGATTAAGTGACTTGTCCAGGGTCACACAGCTAGGAAGGGCCTGAGGCCAGATTTGAACTCACAAAGATAAGTCTTCTTGACTCTAGATCTGGCACTCTATCCATTGTGCCTCCTAGCTGCCCAACCAAAGGCAGAGCCATATTCAGGTAGTATAGGGCACTAGAAGGAATAATGGACTCGGAGTCAGTAGACATAGGTTTAAAGCCCAGCTCTAAGCACTTGCTATCTGTGAGACTGCTGGCAAGTCACTTGACCTCAGTTTCTTTGTCTATAAAATGGGGACAAATCATACTTGTAGTATCTATTTACCTTACCCTCAAATACTACGGAAATATGAATTACTAATATTTCCTTTCGTATTCTTCCTGCACTGTCTTCATAGCGCTCAGGACAATACTGTGCACATATAGTAGTTACTCAGTCTCCTTTGACTGCTTGGTAGAGAATGTTGGTGAATTTTTAAGTGCTTATCCTAGATAAGATATCCTTTCGTTTCACAAAGAGGAAAGTGATGCAATGGAATAGTAGTACTATTCAGAGAGAGTTTCTCAACCACTTGACATAACAAAAACAAATATCAGCATGTTTGGTTTATGCTCAGTTCTGTAAAGGGCTTAAGGTTATACACGGGGGGAAGTTAGAAATAATGCTCTGAATTTTATTTCAAATCAAGCCTGAATTAGGCTTGTAACACAATAGAGGGTTCCTTCTTGCTCTCTGAGGTCAAAGAGAAGGAGGGAAGGAGAGGGCAAGAGAGATAAAGACATGGGAGGGAGGGTGAGAGAGAAAGAGGGAGAGCAGGAAAGAGGGAAGGGGAGAGAATGGGGGGAAGAGAAAAGAGAAAGAGAGGCAATACTTTTTATTGATTACTATTGCTTCTTGAAGTAAATCCCTACTTGAAAGCTAATTGCTCTAGAATTAATGCTCTCTAAATGCTTACTTTGGGGAAAGATCTAAGAGAGAGCAAAGCATTCCATATAGAGACCCCTTTCCCCTACTCTCAGGTTACTACTGTTATTATACTACAACAACCTAATGATACTAGTTAGAAGAAGAAATTTACATTTTCTTAAGATAATTTATCTGTATAATATAAAAAGCACTGACTAGGGGTCAAGAAAGCTCGGGTCAAGTACTGGCCCTGCTATTATCTAGCTGTACAACACTATATAAGTCCTTTTAACCCACTGGGCCTCAGTTTCATCATCTGTGAAGTGCAGGGGCTAGACCCAGTGACCTTCAAGGTCCCTTCTAACATCATATGATTTGGCAAAATTTGGAATATGTATTATCTATGTACATTATAAGTGTGTGTATATATATGTATATACTATATATGTGTATATACATATATAAAACTACATGTTTGTGTATAGATACATACATATACATACACACACACATAGTTTTAATGCAAAATGATGAGTGGGAGAGCTGTCAGTGATAAAAAGCTTAGGGCTGCTTCTTTTTTCACATTAAATATATATATTTTAAATATATGACTTTAGCATGGTAAGAGGCTGATTATAATGTTACATTATAGAGCATTTTAAAGTTTGACTAGAACATAAAGTATGTAAAGGGGAATACTGTAATAAGCAATAAGCCTAGAGAGGTAGATTGGAGCTATCTCAGTTCTTTTATCCTAGAAGCAAGATGGAGCCCATGAAGCTTCTTGGGAGGAAGATGGTCAGGCTATGCTTTAGGGATATTGTTTTGTTAGTTGTGTGAAGGATAGATTAGTGAGGGGAGACCACTGAAGTTTGAAGCCCAATTAGGAGATTATTGCAATAGTCCAGGTGAAAGGCAATGAAGGTCTGAAGTAGGATAGTGACCATTTGAATGAAAAGAAGGGATGTTTCTCTAAAATCTACGAGCCTATGAACCTATGGATGCTAAGAGGAGTAGTGATAATCAAACAGCTCTGCTTATGGGGCTCTTTATCAATACAAAGGCCATACTTATATGTTCAATTGATTCTCATGTCATCCCTATGAGATGGGAAATACAAGTATCAATATTCCCACTTTCTAGCTGAAGAAACTAAGGATATTTCACCTATATTATGACAGACCCCAGCTTCTAAGTACTAGTTGTTACTAAGTAACAACTTCAGTTGTTAATGCTGTGCATTGGGTGATTAGGGAAAATTCATGGGAAGAAGTGGCACAAGCTACCCTGTAAAGGCTCATATTTGGGGGGCATGGATCATTCCAAGGGGAATAATTTAAGTGAAGGAGTATAACATCAAGTGGATGCAAAGACAGTGACAGAGACTTATCTACCTGATGGGAATAGGGACTTCTGTTGGAAAGAAGAAGGCTACAAAGCTGGGTAAGCAAAGTAGAGCCAGATTATAGAAGGCCTTGGAAGTTGGACTTGGCATGAACCACTGTGGCATCACAAGCAAGAGGAAAAATATGCGGTGAATTGGTTCGGCAGGGATTGCTTACCTGCGTGCAAGGTATCCCCGGGTGTACCTCTGCAGAGTTAGGGTGGCCCCTCGCAACCTGCGATACTTCACTTTCTGTAGCCAGCCCCGCACAGTCTTTTGGATCATAATGGTGGCTGCCCGGACTTTGTCCGCCCGGAGTTTTTCCAGGTATGCTACCTGGCCTGCCCGGAAAAAGATTTTGGTGCGGCCAAACTGGAATGCATCAGGATCCTTTGAGAATCAGGGAGGAAGTGATAAATTATCAGCAAGGCTGTAAAGCAACATTCACAGAACACCTAGAGCAGGGCTTCTTAACCAGGGACCCACAGACCCCCATGTGGTCCCTGGATAGATTTCAGGGGTCTATGAACTTTTAAAAATATATTGTGATAACTGTATTTCAATATAATTGGTTTCCTTTGTATTTCTATCTATTTCATTTTATACATATGAGAAGGAGTCCATAGGCTTCAGAAAACCAGAGGGGTCCATGATATGAAAAAAAAATGTTAACAACCTATAACATGTAGGCTCTTATTTCCTTTTCTATTCAGAATCCCTTTCTCAAATTTTATTTTATTTTTCTTTAATAATTACTTCTTTATTTTTATTTTTCATTTAAAATTTTTTTGGAACTCTAAATTCTTTCCCTCCTTCCAATACCTCTCCCACCCACTGAGAAGGCAAGCAATATGATATCAATTATATATGTGAAATTATGTAAAACATTTTTCCATATTATTAATTTTGCCCCCAAAAGCAAGAAAAACAAAGAAACAAAAACAATTTTACTTCAATCTGCACTCACACTTCATTAGTTCTTTCTCTGGAAGTAGACAGCATTTTTTTTTATCATGAGTCCTTTGGAATTGTCTTAATCAGAGTAGCTAACTTTCACAGATGATCATCCTTACAATATTGCTATCACTATGTATAATGTTCTCCTGGTTCTGCTCACTTTACTTTGCATCAGTTCATATAAATATTCCCAGGTTTTTCTGAAAGCACCCTGCTTGTAAATTCTTAGAGCACAATAGTATTCGTCACAATCATATACCACAACTTGTTCATCCGTTCCCCAATTGACAAGCATCCTCTCAGTTTCCAATTCTTTGCCACCAAAAAAAAGAGCTGCTATAAATATTTTTGTACATAAAAGGTTTTTTCCCCTTTTCTTTGATCTCTTTGGGATTTAGACCTAGTAGTGGTATTGCTGGGACAAAGGGTATGCACAGCTTAATCTTTTCTCAAATTTTGGAAATCCTTCATCTTTCTACACATATTCAAGCCTTTGTACAGATATTCTGAAATGATGGATAATCCAGAAATAATTTTTATTTGGTTTTGGAATGGATATGATGTTGTTTTGGCCACATGTCTATCTTCCTAATTATATTTATTTAAGTTCATCCCAATTAATGGTGAAAGGAAGGCAGCCCAAAAGAATGTTCAGAGGCTAGGGAGGAATAATTCTATGATTAATCATTTGGCTGAGGATAATTCATAGATTAGATAATACACAGCTGATTAAGGCTTGATTATAAACAAAAATTTTCCATGTTCACTTTCCTAGCATGTAGGAGGTGAGAAGAGTTCAAGAGTCTAAGACAAATATCCACCCTCATGCACGGAACATTGGATGCAAAGAAGAAAGGAGAAGAAAGAGGAAGAGGAGGAAAAAGAACAAAACAGATCATAGAATCATTTTAAGTCATCATTCTCTGCATCAAGTTTAAAAGATTTGTAGGAAACCTGGACAAGTAAAAACAAGTGGCTGAACTAGGGGAAATCAGAGCTTTCAGCAGACTAAGGTGATGGAGTATAATGGGAAAAGCACTGTATGGAGTCAGAGATTTGGGTTCAAATCCTGTCACTATGTATTTGTGTGACTTTGGGTAACTTGCTTGATCTCTCTAGGTCTCAGTTTCATCATCCGTAAAATGAAAAAGTTGAACTAGATGGCCTCTAAAGTTTATTCAAGGTCTAAAACCTATAATCTTATGGTCCTAAAATTTCTGCTGCCCATTTCTTTTAAAGTGGACCAAGCCATGCCTCTGGCTGGTGGTATCTGTTTTCGTGCTTGATGTAAAAAATGCTATATTGTGTTGTGTGACTTTGGTCCCTTTGTCAATGCTCTACTAAGCATGTCCAGTCAATATGTCTAGAGATGATAATGTGGACTCCATTAGGGGAAGAGATATGGAGTTTCTCTTTCTTTCTTTTTACTTATTTATATGTTTATTTATTTATTATGGCTTTGCTTTTATTAATCTTTATATTCAAGTGCCCATCCTGAGTTGGATACACAGTGGTCCCTCCCCTAAATAAATATTTGAGGAGACCAGCAGCTGCACAGGGCCTAGAGGGCATAAAACAGAAGCTCTGGCTTCCATTTTGCTGCTCCCACCTGGGTAAGTTTCTTTCTCAGTGTGAGGATCTTGGCCTTGCCCTCAGCCAGTCCTGGAAGTCAGGAGATGATAGCAGCAAAAAAGGCCAGTCTAGCTGAGTCAGGGACTGATTGAAATCTTTAACTCACAGGCTCTTGGGCTTAAAGGGTACCTAAAGGCTTGAGGAATCAGAGTTGTTGTGGTCTTTATGCTAAAGGGAAGAAAATTTGAGAAGGGCCAGAGTTGCTTGTCAGCCCATATTTCACTGGTTTAGCTATTACTGTAGTGCAGAAGCCAGCACTTCTAATGTGCCATGTAATTAATGACTGCGTTTTTGTTTGTTTTAGTTCTGATTTTGAAAATCCTAAGAAGTGAATAGTTGGTATATTATAGTTTTCCATACATTCTGAGTTACTTCACTGCTCTGAGACTCAATTTTGTTCAGTAAAATGATGGGGTTAGACTAAATAATGAGTAATAGCAACAACAACAATTATAAAAAATAATAATAATTGCTAACATTTAAATACTGCATACTACAGGCCAGGAATTGTGTTCATTTTATAATTATTATCTCATTTGATCCTCATCATCATAACAGCTAACATTTACATAGTGCCTACTGTGTGCTAAGTGCTTTACAATTATTATCTCATTTGATCCCCACAACAATCCTGGGAAATAGGTACTGGTATCATCCCCATGTTACAGATGAGGAAACTGAGGCAAACAGTGGTTAAATGACTTGCCCAGGGTCACACAACCAGTAAGGATCAAAGCTGTTTTTGAATTCAAGTCTTCCTGACTCTAGGCCCAGTGCTCCATCCACCACATGACCTAGCTACCCTAGTAATAACAGCTGACTTTACATAGAGCTTTAATGTTTGAAAAGCATTTTGCGTATACTATCATGTTACTCACAATAACTCTTATGAATTTGGATGCTATCCTTATCTGCATCTTACAGAGGAGAAAATTGAAGCAAACAGAGGTTAAGTGACTTGCCTAGGATCATGCAGCTAGTAAGTATCTGAAGTAGGATTCAAACTCAGGTTTTTCTGACCCTAAGTCCAGCATTCTATCCACTAAGATCATACGATCATACATTCAGAGTCATAAGGGACCTTGGAGTCCTTCCAGGAGACTGAAGCCCAGGGAGGTCAAGTGATTTGCCCAAAGTAGTAAGTATTAGAGGTAAGATCTGAACCCAGGTTCTCTGATTCCAGACACAGTACTTGTTCCAACTTAACACACTCTCCTTATAAAACTTTTCAAACAAGGTCCTTAGAAAATTCTACTGGCAACAACTAATAATTCAAGCATCTCTAAGAAGACACAGAGAATCTACCTACAACCCCAGATACCTCCAAGCTTTCCAGTCACCTGCTCCTTATTCCTGCCCACTTAGCCTGAGGGGGAACTCAACATAGCCTGCATCCAGACGTGGAAGTGAGAAAGGGCACACAATAATCTCCTTTGGAAATTTGTTCCAATTTAACTAGCTTGTTTCTACTGAGGAATGGGAATGGCTCCTTGACACCAAAGAAGTTGGGGAAGGAGTCTTTGTCTTTATTATTTATATACTAGCACCTAGGAGAGAGCTCCACATTCACTAAATATTTGGTGATTTGAACCTGAATGGAAATGAAATTAAGAAGGAAGAGTAGGGAATCCTTCCATTTCAATCCATCAGGAATCTCAAATCCATAGGATTAGTCATAGTTTCATAGGACTTAGAGTTGATAAGACCTTACAAATAATCCATGTTTCTTTGCTTGGTACTTAAAGTCTTCTGGGCAATTAAGTGATACAGTGGATAGAGTACAAGGTCTGCAGTCAGGAAAACTCTTCCTGAGTTCAAATCTGGCCTCAGATGCTCACTAGCTGTGTGATCCTGGGCAAGTCACTTAACTCCTATTTGCTTCAGTTTCCTCATTTGTAAAATGAGCTAGAGAAGAGAATGGCAAACCACTCCAATATCTCTGCTAAGAAAAACCCTAAAGGGATCATGAAGAGTCAGACATGACTGAAAACAACTAAACAACAATGTGCTTTATAATCTTTTCCCAATTTACCTTCTTACACTTATCTTCTACTACTCCCCAACATCAAATTTCTGCACTAGTCAAATTGGTGCCTTCACTAGTTCATGTAAATGCCATGAGCATTCCCATCACTTCTATAAAGTCTTCCTTGATGATTTTGTCCTATTGTGAGGCCTCTCTTCTAATTTACAGCCTTTGCTATTTGAACCACCTAATTGGTGGCTCATGATACTCTATGACATGCTTACCCTAGAATCAGAGGATGGCAGAGCTGAGAAGGACATTAACAATCGTCTAATTTATCCCAATAATTTTACATAGAAATAAAGAGAGGCCCAGAGAGGTGACATGATTATCCCAAAGTCACAGAGCTAAATGGCTGAGCGTAGGTTGGAACTTATATTTTTCTTCTCCCAGGTATATGACTTAAAAAGATTGGAATTTCTTGTACTATTGTTTAATTTATTAAATGTATCTTGCCCTATACACAATAAGTAGTTAATAAAATGTGGGTTGATGGTGACCACACATAATAAGTATCATCTGTCATCTTGTATATTGGGGATATATTTTAAAGCAAAGAGGTAAAAGCAGTTTCTCTATATCTTGTTTCCATAGCAGAACATATAATTTTCTTAGATTGCAAATTCCTTGGGGGTAGACTGTGTCTTATCAAAGATAATAAGATCAGATCATATATTTTGACCTGGAAGGGATCTTAAAAGTCACTGGTCCAAACCACCACCACTACCATCCATTTGTAGATCAGGAAATTGAAACACAGAAGGGCTTAGTGATGTCCAAGGTCACACAAAAAAGTAAGTTTCTTAGGTGAAATATGAATCAAAACATTCTTTTCTTCAAGACTAGTGCCCTATCCATGCTGCTTCTCCTACAAATCTTCAGTTCTACAGTGGTATACAATACATAGAAGATGTTCAGTAAAAAAAAAAATAGTTGAGTAAATGAATGAACGTAAATTCAAGCTAGAAGGGAAGTCCAAAAAACAATGTGGAGTAGGTAAATTCTAACAAACTTTGGATGTTTTCCAAATACCATCTCCTCATTCTCCCCAGCCCCCTTCCCCAAAAAGCCCTTCATGTAGGTGGACTTGGTTTATAAACATTCACTCTTTTCCTCCCTCAATTGGAAGGAGACAATAAATAAAAAGGCTCCTTTCAGCTCCTGGGTTGCTTCATAATGCATATGGCCATTAAGAATCTGCCACTCAGCCAACCTATCATGTTTACTGCCATTTTTCTACTAATCATTTTATGGCATAATGTGCTTAATGCTTATGTTGGGATGAAGACAGGGAGCTGGCAGGTGCTGTCCCATTGTGATGGAGGGCTCTGCAGAGGCAGGCAGCAGAGCTGGTCATAGAAGGATAAAGGAGAAAAGCAACATGAAAGATGATAGAATTCAAATTCTTAAGTGAACTTTCTAAGGCTAATCCTCAGCCACTTACTGAGAAAGAATGAGCTATGGGATGCAATGAGCACACAGTGACTTTTCTTCTGATTGAAATAATAGCTCTCATGTCATGTCATGTTGTACTTATTCTAACTGCTTAATCTCAGACAACTCCATTCATTCATATATTCATACATTCATAGAATACCTAGTCTGTATGGAAGACTGTACTAGGTCCTCTAGGTGATAGAAAATACATTCAAAATGGTTCTTAAGGAGCTCAAAATTTAGTAATAGTGATAAGACAAATACACAGCAGTATATGCACCATCTCATTATTACAAACTAAGCCCTATACGAATGCAGAAATGGGAATAGGTGAACACTTCTAGGTCAGGTGATTAGGGAAGGCTTCATGGAGAAATTAACATTTGAGTTGGGTTTTGAAGGATGGCCCAGATTTCCATAGGCTGAGGTGAAACTTTTCCAGATTGTCGAGGACTGCTTTGGAGTGGATGGAGTGTTGGTAGGAAGTACTGAGTTAATTTTTTGCTCTGGACCTATGACTACATCAGCATGGAGGAATTCCTAGTAAGGGATTTCCCTTCGTCAACACAGAATGACATTTATTCTGCAATTTATAGTCTAAGAGCCCACAAATGGGGGCACTGAGAGGTTAAGTAATTTTCAGAGTCACAAGGCCAATATGTGATGGAGGAAAAGACTTAAGCTCAGATCTCCCTGACTCTGAGGCCAGCTCTCTCTTCACTATGCTATATTACCTATAAAATAAGCTAAAAGGGATATATTTTAAAATGTCAACTTTCAAGCTTTGTCATGGGATCAATCCATATATGGTCCACTCTCCTAAACCTGTGTCTACAGTTCTGGACAATAATAAATTAATAACGACGATAAACTTGAAGCCCTATAAATCCCACTATCAAAGAAAGATTCCATTCTGTTCAATGCACCATTAGTCCTGATGTATTTGGCTTCCTTGGAAAATGAAGGATTTCACATGAATGAAATTTTTAGACAAGTAAAGCATAGCTCTTTAAACACCAACTTTTTTTTTATTTTAGTGACTTTGGATCAAAATTATTTTTTTAAAAAAGTATAATCTCGGGGCAGCTAGGTGGCATAGTGGATGGAGCACCAGCCCTGAAGTCAGGAAGACCTGAGTTTAAATCCAGCCTCAGACCAAACACTTGACACTTACTAGCTGTGTGACCCTGGGCAAGTCATTTAACCCCAATTGCCCTGGAAAAAAAAAGTATAATCTCCTCCTCTATCTTCTAATAAAGAATTTGCTGAGCAAAGTCTCCTTTGCTTCTTCATCTCCCCAGAACTTAGCACAGTGCCTGGCATATGGTAAGTGTTTAATAAATGCTTGTTCATTCCCTTTCTCTCTTTCTTCCTCTTTTCTTCCCTTCCTTCATTTGCTTTTCCTTCTCTTCCCCCATTAAAATAGAAGCTGAGGGCAGGAATCATGCTTTCCCCCCTTGCTTTGCATCTATTGCCTGGAGCATATTAAAAAATGTAATAAATGCTTGTTGATTGATTCTTCTGACGAATCAAGGCCATCATAGGAAAATCAATTATGATACTAGGCTGTGATACAGGAATGCCCACAAGGCCACTTTATGAGCTGTTTGTTGCTACACCTTATGGCTCTGACATTAAAAACTTTCATAGTTTTTTTTTTATTGAACTCTTCTAGAACTTCTGTGTCCTCCTCCCACTGTTGGCCATCATTTCTCATCAGCATCCATTTGTCCTTACTGCTTTTAATCTGTTGCCTCTGTGTGTGTGTGTGTGTGTGTGTGTGTGTGTATGTGTGTGTGTATGTGTGTGTGTATGTGTACATATATGTGTGTATATATGTGTGTGTATACATATACATATATACATATACATTACATATACATAGACATATGCATATGCATATACATATACATATATATGTATATGATTGAGTAGGGGCTTAAGGGTGGCTCTTTATAGAGTAGAGTACATTTGATTCACCATAAGTCTTATTCTCTTAGTTCAATGGCCCTTTCCCACTCACTTCCCATATATTCCATACAATTCAGGTGGCCGGAAGTCTTACTTACAGATAAATGGGGCATAGCTACATTGTCCATACTGAGGTAGGAAAATGAATTAATTCATCAAAGAAATATTTTTTATTATCCAGGCAAAAAGGGCCCATTTGGTTAATCTTCAGTAAGACAAAAAATCCAACCAAGTACCATAGCCCAGGCTCAGAGCATCTAATTGAGATTTTATTGTATGGCCTGTTCAGTGCTCTCTAGAGGTAGGTTTCCCCTATGGCTCTGCCTAGGCCTATCTTCTCTTTCCTCAGTGATCTCAGCAGCTGTCATGGGGTCAGTTATGAAGTCAATAAGCCTTTATTAATCATTTTCTCTCTGACAGACACCGCTAAACTCTGGTGGATACAAAGAAAAGCACAACAGACAAACAAACAAAAAAACAGTCCCTGCTCTCAAGGAGCTCACATTCTAAAGAAGGCAAGACACAAATGATTATGTTTGATCAACATATAAATGTGTTCAATTGGAGATAACCTCTGAGGGAAGACACTAGCATTATGGGTATTAGGAAAGGCTTCTTGCAGAATGTTGGATTACAGCTGGGATCTGAAGGAAGTCAGAGAAACCAGGAGACAGAGAAAAGGAGGGAGAGAAAATTATCATGATCTCTGTGCTTATGCCTCCCAGATCTATACAGCCAGCCCTAACCTCTTTCCTGAGTTTCTGTCCTACGTCACCAGCTGTCTTCTCAGCACCTCCATCTGGGCATCCTATAGGAATATCAACCTCAACATGTCTCAAATGGCACCAATTATCTTCCCTCAACTCAGCCCTTTGTTTCTTTCTGCTGAGGCCACCATAATCCTTCTAGCCATTCAGGTTTATAAACCTTGAAGACACCTTCACCTCTTTCCCCACTTTTCATTTGTAATCATTTACCAAGTTTTATTGACTCTAGTTCTATAACATCTATGCACACTGAGCCAAAATTGAACTCAAGGCTTCCTCATTTCTTGTTTGGGTTATTGAAGCAGCCTCCTGATTGGAACCCTGGCTTCCAGAGGCCCTTCTCCAATTTGTCCTTCACACAGCCGCCTGAACAATCTTCCTAAAGCACAGGTTTCTGTACCTCTCTATTGCCTCTAGACTAAAACACACACCCCTCAAGTTGGCCTGTAAGGCTCTTCCGAACATGCCCCCAGCCCACTCCTCCAGGCTGATTTCACGTCAAAACCCTTCACGCACTCTGTGTTCCAGTCAAACTGACCTATTCTCTGTTCCTAAGTTGATACTCCTTCTCCTGCTTCTACACTTTTTGCACAGGTCGCTCCCCAGGTGTGGAATATACTTTCTCCTTACTGATTCCTTCAGTCCCTAGCTTCATTCAAACTCATGTACCACTTTCTACAGGAAGCCTTTTCACATCTCCCTCATTGTTAACATTCTCTCTCTTCCAAATATCATCTATATAGTTACTAATTCACACAGTGCTATACCCTACCCACATCCCACCCCTTATAAACTCCTTGAAAACAGACTATTTTTTTGGATGTTGTTTTGTTTTATATCATCAAGGACAGTGCTTTGCATGCAGCAAACCCTTAATAAATGCTTCTTGGATTGTGCTCAAGCACACCATGTTCCTAAGCTCACCTTGATGAGATTCTCCAGGACGTTTTTACAGATGGCTTTTTTGTCAGTGTTGGAGAGCTCCCTCTTTTTAATGAGCACTCTGTATCTATTGAAGAAGTCATGATAGGTCCACCTAGAGAGAAAGCAAAATCAGCATTAGTCAGGGTGTCTGTTGAACTTTGAATGGTGGCTGAGAACCTTTAAATAGCTCACATCTCTATAGCACTTCAAAGTTCACAAAGGGTTTTTTTTTGTCTTGTTTTGGTTTTGCTCACAAAACCCCTGTGAGGTAGGTAATACAAATATTATCATTCCCATTTAATAGATAAGAAAATAGAGGCTCCTAGAGGTCAAATGAACTTGCCCAAGGATGTACAAGTGTCAGAGTCAAAATTCAAACCCCAGAACTTCTCATTCTAAGACTAGTGCTCTTTCCATTAGACCAGAGGTAGGGAACCTGTGGCCTTGAGGCCACATGTGGCCCTCTAGGTCCTCAAGTGAGGCCCTTTGACTGAATCCAAACTTCACAGTCTTCACAAAGGGCTGCACTTGAGGACCTAGAGGCCTCATGTGGCCTCAAGGCCACAGGTTTCCCCACCCCTGCATTAGACTATATTGAACCCAAAGGGCTTGAATGAGCTCTTCAAAACACAACAGTGCTCACCAAGCCAACTGCTTCCTAGGAGTTCTTAGCTAGACATTTGGCCCATTACTTTGGGACTGTGCGTGACTTAAATGTTCCTCAACTTTCCTCTTGTGAGAGCAACACTGAAAGCCTTGGCATTCTTCTCTCTAAATCTTACTTCTAGTCTTCCTAGGACCACCCCCACAATTAGTCTCTGACCTTGTTGACTGACTCTCCCCTTGAGCTCTTTAATCAACTTCTCCTCCAAAGGAAGGAACTTTACCTGCTGATATCACAGGTTCTTTAGATCCATACAACATAGTTCTCCAGCTGGGTGTTACATGTCTCCTGTGCTGTACAGGGCTGGTCACCAGACACAACAGGTTTCCACTGCCCAGCTCTATAGCCTGCAGGCAAAACCCTCATATCCTGTGTTTTCCTCTGTATAAAGGCTGTGGACGAACTAGGACCATGCTCCTTGGGTGACAGCATTTTTATTTTTCAGAGGTCAGCACACTAAAGAGTCAAAACACGAACACTCCCACACCTGCCCACACTGGCTCTCAAAGGATGAAAGAACATCTAAGAGCTGTGGACAAGGGATCCCTGAAAAGTTTTCTGTTTGAGGAGTTGTTTATTAACTGAACGGAATGAGTGTAGGATGAAAGGAATGGAAGGTTTTTGGCTCTCTTTACTTACTTTTTTGACACTTATCTCCAGGTTCTCCTCCTGTCTGACTGTTCTTTCTCAGTCTCCATGGCTGGCTCATAATCTGTGTTATGCCCTCTAACTGTAGGTAGTCCTGATGGTTCTGTCCTAGGTCCTCTTCTCCATTCTCTGTTGGTGACCTCAACAACTCCCAAGGCTTTAACTATGCTTTCTATGGTCATCTCTAAGCAAATAATTCACAGATCACTCTATCTATCTAGTCCCAATCTCACCCCAGAGCTTCAACCCTACATCACCAATTACCTATTGTACCTTTTAAACTGTAGGTCCCAGAGACATGTTAAACTTTGGATGTCCAAAATCGAACTCATTATCTTTCCCCACAAGCTCTCCCTTCTTCAAGTTCCATAATTATTTTAAAGAAAGTACCATCCATCTGGTATTCTAGGCTCATAACCTCAGCATTACCCTGGACTTTTTACTCTCTTTTAACCTACACATCCAATCAGTTGGCAATTTTTATCACTTCTACGTTCACAACATCTCTCACATCTGTCCTCTTCTTTCTATATAGCTACAATCTCAGTTCAGGACCTCATCACCTCTCACCTAAATTACTGCAACAGTCCCCTGTTTAGTTTCCCTGCATAAAGTCTCCCACCACTCTGGTCCATCCTACACACTGCTGCCAAGGTAATTTTTCTTAAGTGCAGATCTGATCTTGTGACTCTTCTACTCAATGAATTGCAATGGGGCTGCCTCTTACCTGTAGAGTAACCATATAAACTCCTCCATTTAGCTTTTAAAGCCCTTTGCAACCTGGGTCCCCATCTTTCCGTCTCATTGGATATTACCTAATTTTCTATACTCTTCAATCCAGTCATACTGGGCCTTCTCCCTGTTCCTCATACACAACACTCCATCTCCTCTCTCTGTGCTTAAAATGCTCTCTCCTTACTCCATCTCATCAAGTCCTCTTTTCTAATTGGAAGGGAGAATTCCAGTCCCCCCCATTCTCAGCTACCAAAATAATTTTCCTAAAGCACAATCTTGATTATGTTAGTCCCTCATTACAATGAGTCATGTGTCAAGTTTCTCAAACTAGTGGATGGTAGACACTTCAGAACTGGAAGACCATTTGGGGGCCCTCATATCACACTGCATAGGTAAGTAACTCCTTGATCCACCCATTTATAAGATCTATCCTGAATATATTTCATTTCTCCAGAAGGTAAAACTCCATCCCATACAATTGTCTACCTTGGCCATCTCCATGCCATCCATTCTGCATTGGCTTTCTCCAGACCACCTGACCTCTTAAGACTAAGCCCTGAGTGACTTAATCTACTCAGCTTTGAAACCAGAACCCTTTTTGATTGCTATGTTAGCCAGTGTAGATGCCTATGACCCATTATTTGTAGTCAGCCCCAGACCATGCTTCAGATCTCATCCCACCATCCACCTGGTCCATCTCTTTGATACCTTTCTGTATAGAGTATTCAAATTAATATTACCATTGCTATTAGAAAGGACACATCCATTCATTCTCCTATGGCTCTACAAATGATCCCCATGATTCCCAAAATCAAAACAACTCTTCATGGATTGGCTACTATACTCCCCTTTTGAGTTGTTTCTCTCAACTGGAATGTTAGTTCTTTGAGGGCTTTTGTACTTGTACCCTCAGAACTCAATACAACACTTGGCACACAATAAGTGATTAATAAATGTTTGTTGTTCATTCACTACTTAGGGCAGTGTAAAAAATAGACTTCCATATTTCTTAGAGTTTCTAGCTTGGGCCACATAGTTAAGATTCTAAGGATAGGAAAGGAAAGGGAATTCCCCAAAGTAACGTCCCATTACTTTTTGATCAATGGTAAAAGTGAGAGTCTTCTGTAGCCTTACTCCAGGGGTATGGGGGTTATTCAGATTCTGAAGACTTTTCCAATGAATTGCGTAATTTAGCAAGTCCAACACCAAGCAAGAAAGGTTGAGGGGTGGGGTTATCCTAGGGATGGATTATATAACTTTTTTGCAAGAAGGAACCTTGATAAATTGGAAGAGGCTAATCACCAGAAGGTTGGTGACTAGGAGACAAATTTTTACAAACACCTATTAAGTGTGGAGGGGCTATATACTATATCAGGAGAGGGACTACTCACACTGATGAAACTGGGGTCCTTAAAGCACTTAAGTACTAGTGATAAATTTAGTTGACCAAATTAACCTGCATTTATCCTTTGCCTAGAGATTACTTGAGCTTTATCATGGCTCTGACATGATCTGTTATTGGTGTATATTCTTCTGAAGGCAAGAAACTTTTCCTTTTGTCTTCATATCCATCACATTTAACTCAGTGCCTGGCATATATTAGGTGCTTAATAAATGTATGATGAACGATTTGCTGGACTTGAATGTAAATTCTTTTGGGGTTGTAGGATAGCCATGTTCCTTGAACCAGAAGCTCTGTGAAGAAGCAGAGGCTAACTAGGGAGCCCAAGTACTATGGAAATAATTCTTCCCACTGCTTGCCCTGTATTTAGGACACCCCAAATAAACAGGAAGCATTGCTTAACAATCTGCTAAGCTGTGACCAGACTGCAAACTCACCTGAGTTATTGACTTATGGAACTGAGTTATGTCAGAAGCAGGAGACTTTTCAACAGAAAACAGCATGGGTTCTTAGCTCTTCCAAATGCCATTTTAATTATGTCAGACATGTCTGTTAAATGTCTAGAGGATTTCTAAGCCCTGACTTGGGATTCGAGTGACTCAGTACTGTATTCTCTTGGAATGGCAGGCTCCAAAACAGGGATCCATTTTGCTTTTAATGCATGCAAATATAACTGAATTTTTTGCAGGCTATTCTAAACACATCTTCCCTCTACCTTGCACTGCCCCTCATGTGCCACAGTTTCAGACTAGTGTTTTCCTACCTCATAGGGCTATGAAGGTTCCTTTCAATTTTAAACCTGCAATCTTGTGGTCTTCTCACCAGCTCCACCCCTAGCCCCTACCAGGACATTGGGGAATCAGAAAAACAAATGAAAGCTTTCCAATCTGTGTGGCATCCAGTTCACTCTACAAACACAAACTCCATTTTGCCAGAGGGCAGGAGTAGGACTGGAGTTTTTGAAAACACACATTAGGGGAAACAATGTCAGAAGGGGTAATATGATTGCATACAAAACCAATGTCATAAATGTTGCATATAGACAGGGGCGAAGCAACACTACAATAGGATCTCATGACTCTAAAATAAGATTTCAAAGGTCAAGCTTCTCCCTGAAGCAAAAATCTATCTTTTTAATACCAATACTCTTTCAAGAAGTGCTATGGCTTCTAGTCATAGACTGATGCTCTCTCCAAGGAGGTGTGGTCAGGAATCATCTAAAAGCAAAAATTCTTAACATTCTTTGTACTTTGGACCCTTTTGGCAGGCTGGTGAAGCATTTGGACTCCTCAGAATAATGTTTTTAAATAATTGAAGAAAACACTGAATTTCAGTTAAAAGGTAGTGAAAATAAAGATGCAGGATTTTTTTTTTCCAATCCAAATTCAGAGATCCCTTCAAGGAACTGTGGATCTCAGGCTAAGAATCTCTGATCTAAATGGTAATGGTTTTGTATGGTGGATATGACCAGGCTGTAAGACAAAATAATGAGGAATTGTGAAGGGAAAGAGATATAAAGGATGTCATCAGAGAAATATATAAAAAAAAAAGATGAGCGAGTTATGTTGCAAGATTGAGGGATGGCCAGTAGAAAATTACATGCTCCATTGGTATGCATGCTTTGTAAAGAGAATGAAAGGAAGCTCCCAACATGGCAGGGAGG